CCCCCCGGGTGTTTTTGGAGTGAAAAGAGGGGTTTTTTTACGTTCAAAATTTTTTAAACCAGGTGGGTTTTTTTTTTTTTTTTTTTTTTTTTTTTTTTTGGATCGTTTGTGAAGTCTTTTTTTTTTTTTAAATAAAAATAAAACTAGCACAGAACTAGAATATGTGCTGTCTAATTTGTGGATTTTCAGGATATTCTTAGAAAAGGCCACACCTCTTCAAATGTTGTACTAAAAAAAGACACGAGGCAGCAGGCCTGGCCCTGAAACTGGTAATTAAGTCATAAAATCCAGTTGTGGTCAAGGACAGCTGCTGATGAAGACATTGACTGTTTGATTTAACTTCTTATACCCAGCAATTTTAACATTTTAACAAATGCAGTGACATTTCACATATTTTCGGTGCTTTGCAAAGGTTTCTAGAATGTTTGTTTTTAAATATTCTTATGTCGCATGAAGAAAAACTCTGATCATTGCAGTGCTGCCATTACTGAGTTACTTTATGGTTGTGTGAGTTGTCAAACACACCTTGTACATTAATTGCCCTGGCGTGATTTTTGTACCAGTTAAAATGATAGCAAATAACAGTACAGGTCCATCTAGGTAAATTAGAAAATATATTTATTCAGTAATCCCAATTAAAGTAAAACTCATTTCTTCTGCTTTAAGAAATGTTATATTACCATTTGTTAAATAGAGCAATATATTCATATCATGCTTTTCATTTAATTTGTTTTGATTATGTTTTAAAAGAAACGAAAAATTACACAAAGCAAATGAAAGATTTCTAAAATTAAAATTTGAACAGTAGATATTATATAGTATGCTCACTCTTACTTTTCAAAGTTCTGGACCTCAAGCAACTTGGATTGTCTGCCTCTCTATTCTACCTTCAGATGATGTGACCTGGACTCCCAAATAAGTGATAAATATTTTAATCTGGAAGAGAATTTATGTCACTGAGAAACTGTCCAATGCTTTTTCTTCTCATCAGATTCTACTGACTGTCTTAATTTTGGGAGTCCCATCAAGCAAGAATGTCTTTTATATGTCTGTGCATGCTGGCTCTTGAAACCCCAACTCAAGTTGAGCTTTTTCCAAGTACAACTCGTTGCCAAAGTAAAGCCATAGCTTCCCTTTTATAGACCTTGACAAGTTTATTCATGCTTTTATTACCTCTCATATTTACTATTGTAATTCTTAATATGCCGGGTTAGATCAATCATTCCCGCAGCGTTTACAAATGGTTCAGGGCACTGCAGCTCATATTTTTACTGCTACAAAGAAGTATGAACATGCATCTCATCGTAAAATCCCTTTTTTTTTTTTTTTTTTTTAACTACCGGTAATTCAGTTTTGGAGCCCCATCTTGTCTACATGATCCCTTTAACATCCAATTGTGAAGCACTTTGGTCAACTGTTTTTGTGCTGCACACATAAAGTTAACATTGAATTCAGTTCATGTCTTGAAAGCTTTCACAGTGAACATCAGAATTAAGAGAAACAAACCTAGTTGAGTTTTTAGTTAATGTAATTAATATAAATTCACCCATACTGAAAAATGAAAGTGATGATATTGAGTAATGTGGCCAAAGGTTGGATGGGAAATTCAACAGTTCATAGGATAGTTACTTTATATGTTGTTTCTATTTTGTTTTTTTGCAAGCAATTTACAAACAGCTTTTTGTTACTATAGTACCACGCAGAAACCATCAAGAATGTGCGGGAGGCGTGTGAGAGCTTCGAGCCGGGCAGTATCCATTACAGACCCATCGGTGTTGCCCTGGACACCAAGGGACCAGAGATCAGGACCGGCCTTATTAAAGGAGTGAGTTTAGCATTAATCCTCAAACCATAACATTTATATTGTACTCCAATTTGATATGAAGTAAATGCATTTTTATGTGACAGAGTGGCACAGCTGAGGTTGAGCTGAAGAAGGGCAACATGATCAAGGTTACTTTAGACGATGCCTACCAAGACAACTGCAGTGATGAGATCCTCTGGCTGGACTATAAGAACATCACCAAAGTGGTGGAAGTTGGCAGCAAGGTCTACATCGACGATGGGCTCATCTCTCTGCAGGTCAAGGAGATTGGTGAGTAGACCAGTGTCACACATTAAGGTTCCTTTTGTGAGTTCTTACGGACGTTAAAACTGCTGTTGTGTCCATTTTTGTCCTCCAGGCAGTGATTACCTCATGTGTGAGATTGAAAACGGAGGCACTCTGGGCAGCAAGAAGGGGGTGAACCTTCCTGGCGCTGCCGTCGACCTGCCTGCCGTTTCAGAGAAAGACATCCAGGATCTGCAGTTTGGTGTGGAGCAGGGAGTCGACATGGTGTTTGCCTCCTTCATCCGCAAAGCAGATGATGTACATGCTGTCAGAGCTGTGCTTGGAGAGAGGGGCAAAAACATCAAGATCATCAGCAAACTGGAGAACCATGAGGGTGTACGCAGGTGTGTATGGTACTGACAAGCTGACTGCAGCTTTATGCATGATGGGCTTGGTCATGTTCTATGTTTTGATTGAGATCTTTGATTATGTGTTTTGCATTATATGTTTGCAGATTTGATGAGATCATGGAGGCTAGCGATGGCATCATGGTTGCACGTGGTGACCTGGGTATTGAGATCCCCACAGAAAAGGTCTTTTTAGCTCAAAAGATGATGATCGGTCGCTGCAACAAAGCTGGCAAGCCCATCACATGCGCAACCCAGGTTAGTCCATAGAGCAGGAAGGCTGATTCTTATGAACACTGAAGGTGATGGATTTCTTTAGCAAAAGGTATTCTGACAGTAATGTAGTGCAGGATTCCACAAAATGATATTCAGCTCAAGACAGATCTAAAACACACTTGCCTACAGATTTTATCTGCATTTTTGTCAATAACATCAGCATAAAATTTGCACTGATCCACTGGTATTAATAAATATTGCATGTAGGCACATGTCAGTGAGTTTCTCAGATTTTAACCTCAAGTACAAATCCCATATTTTAAGATCATAGTATTTCCTCAAAAATGTAATACTGGTAATCTAATTGTTCTTATTCAAAATAGAATGATCTATTATGCTGCTAAATATCCTCACACTGGTTATCAGTTATGATTCATAGCCTTTGATTATAGACTTGGGCAAAACATTTTAATAAAGAACTGCTAAACTTAGTAGTAATTCCTCTGGTCTTCATTGTGTAAAATTGTATAAATGTTTTGTCTTTCCCAGTATTTGTGGAGTACCATAACTTAGCTGGTTTTCAAACTGGATTGCTTTAAAAGTGGCAGGAGGCCATTTAGTTTCTGCATCATTGTTGTAGTATGATGGACAATTATGGTGAATTTTAAATTTATAATTATTTTATTTTTTTTTTTTAAGACCTTGTTGTAAATTGATAAACTCCACACAACTTTGATAAATTGTCTTAAATCACCAGAGGCATATATGTTTGAAAGGAAGGTAGAGTAGCTTTTATCTTTAAGAAAATGCAACAAAAACCAAAGAAGTTTGCTTTTAAAGGTTTGGCCTCTAGGTTTAAGGAAGATATTTTCCGGTGTAAATGTGTGGTGCTATGCTGAGTTGAATCTCGCTGAACCATTTAGATGTTGGAGAGCATGATCAAGAAGCCTAGACCGACCCGCGCCGAGGGCAGCGACGTTGCCAACGCCGTCCTGGACGGAGCCGATTGTATCATGCTGAGTGGAGAGACTGCCAAGGGAGATTACCCCCTGGAGGCAGTGCGCACACAGCACATGGTGAGTCCAGCAACACTTAAAAATGCAAAATCTTCAAACCCGATGAGCATATAACCATTAATTATTCCACAAGCTTTGAATTGGAAAAAAAAAATATTTGTGCTACGAATCAACTGCTTCTCCAAGAATCAACTTTTGTCTGTATGTTCCGCCTTGTTTTTATGTCAGCATGTATACTGCCTGTCCAAAAAAGAAATCACGACTTGGATTTAACAAGTAGGCAATTACTGCCTTGATTATTAAGTTATTTAACCATAACTGATGTAGTAGCTTCTCATTTCTTAAACAACCGTATTGGAGTCGAACTAGCAACATTACAACATGTACAATGCAAAAAGAATTCAAATAATTGGAGCTAAATAGCAGTGCAGCTTTAAGAAAATCACTCAGGGTCATCAATTAGAAAAATCTTAATTTTGCTTAGAAAGTTAAAGACTGGACTCAGATTTACCCTGTTCCAGAAAGAGAGTTGCATCAGTGCAAGAGAGGTGGATAAAGTCTTCAAACCTGTGTGGGAAGTGTTATGATCTGGGGTTGTTGCTCCAAGAATTATGCATATATCAAATAACCAGGTCATTTTGTCAGTAAAATTTTTCTTTAATCACACGGGTATATTCCAAGATGACTGTCAGGATTATTCTGGCTTAGTTTGTGTTGAGGACACTGAAGGAGCAAACATCATGTTCATGCATGAATTGGCCATCACAAAGTCCAGACCTTAACAATACTAAGTTTCATGCAGCAGCCAGACTCCCATCATCTTTACAAGATGTCGGCAAAAAATGTTTATCTAACTCTGGATGGCTATGAAGGCAACATCGCAGAATATTGAAAACAATGCTGCAGAAAATAAGTGCTGTAACCAAGGCTAAATGAAATGGTGTATGTATACTTTGGGCAGGCAGTGTACATACTTGCAAGTTTAGTTTCTGTGATCATCTACTGAAACACTGACTTTAAATTTACAAATTATATATATTTTTAATCTATACAGTATCTTAAGGATGTTTAGGAGCTGCAAGCACATGGACCGCTGCATGATGTTCACAATGTGCATGTGGTTATTAATTACTTGAACAGCATGTTGGAAGCTCTTTTTTTTTTCTCAAAGCCACAATAAATGGCAGCTGCTGCACCTCTTTATCTAACAAATTCACTGCACCTCATATTCTATACTACTTATTTCTTTGCAGTCAAGTTTCCAAATTGCAGATTTTTCTTAAATGTACTCGTACCTGACTGCATCACAAGGTCAAAGGATCATAAGTGTCAAGACTCTGAATTTATCCAATGTTGTTGCTTCAAAGTTGCATTTTCTGTTTCTCAGTTAGGGAGAGATTACAAAAAAAGATTCAAATACCATACCATCAATGGTAATTTAGAAATATCCCAGTTTATCAGTTGTTTGGAGTGACAAAGCATTGATCCCATCTTGCCTGTCCTTCACTCCAGATGCCTTCTTGGCTAGCTGCTGCTATTCCTAGCCACAGTGCAGATGTCTTTGTGACTCAGCAGATGCAGTGCTCCTGTTGCACTGGGAGTGTATCGAATGTCTCTGAATCTGGAGTAAACACCCATCTTCATCAGTAGCTGCACATTAGACAAAAAAAAACACAAACTAATTTACACTAACCTCTAAATACCTGTCTCAAAGTCTTCTGATGTTTTCCTGGCTGATTTTAAAGTGCCTAAGTTTTATTTTGCATCTTTGTGTCAAGCTATTTTAGAAATTAATAATTCACTAATGTGTCATTTGACATCAAATTTTTTTCATTTATATTTCTACTTTGTAGCTGTGTGAGGATCTTAAACATCTGACACAGTTTTAACAGTATTTTCCCGTGTCCTCTCCCCCACACTAACTGCACATCTAAACTCTCGTTAACTATCTTAATTTCTTCTGTCCATTCCTTCTCCTTTTTTATGTCCTCTTAACCTTGTCAATCTGTTTCCCATGTCTTATCTCCCCTCTTCTTCCCCCCCTCATTTCTTTTTCCATCTCTGTGCGCGACTGGTGTGGGAATGCCTGTACTCGATGCATCTTGCCCTTGTGCCAGATTGCTCGTGAAGCCGAGGCAGCCATGTTCCACCGGCAGGTGTTCGAGGACCTGCGTCGTTCTACGCCGCACTGCAACGACCCAGCTGAGGCCATTGCAATCGGCGCTGTCGAGGCCTCCTTTAAGAGCTTAGCCTCTGCGATCATTGTGCTCACGGGCTCTGGAAGGTAGGCCGGTTATCTGGCGCCGACATCTTCTGGATGTCTGATGGAGACTTGAACAGACAGAGAGGGAGAGTAGGGCGAGGCAGGCATTGATGAAGTAACTGGGAGACCTGGCAAAAGCTCAACTAGACTGTTTATTATCTCACCAGCTATACTTTAATGCCAAAGTTCTGCTATTTGGACCTAAATGTTCCCACATTTAAAGTATTTCCCAAAATTGTGATGTTTTTTGAAACTTCCTTAATTTATTTTCTGCAACTATCCTTATTCAGCATAGTCTAGTACTGTTTTTGCCAGTCGTTCAGTGGTGTGAGTGCCTTGATGTGTTTGTAGTGGAGTGTGTTTGAGAGTAATCTTCCATTCGGGGCTTAGATAGCACGAGAGGCAGAAGCAGCCACCTTCCACAGACAGCTGTTTGAGGAGCTGAGGAGAAGTTCCCGCCTGACCAGAGACCCTTCAGAGGCTGTAGCAGTCGGAGCTGTTGAAGCATCCTTCAAATGCTGTGCTAGTGCCATCATTATTCTCACTAAGACTGGGAGGTAAGAAAGTGAGGGATGCAGTCTGAAAATGTTCCTGAAGGTAAGGTCTAATTACCCAGGCTCCTAATTCTCTAACGTATATATTAAAAATCTTATAATTTTGCATGTGTGTGGTGATGTGTGTGGATATGAAGGGTAGAGAATAAGAGTCAGAGCGGGAATGACATTAGCCAAATTAATGGGTCTTGTCTGTTCACAAATGGATGCACTGGCTCAGAATGCGAGTTAATCATCTCACCAAGTCTTCTAAATGAATGCAAAACTAAAATTTGATAAAATTCTGTTCAACACTGTTCTACATAGAAAATGCCCATCTAGAAAATGTTACATCCAGTATGTGAGCTCTGTGTCATAGTAAAAAGCAAATATAACCAATTCTATTTGATGATCGGAGGTTGAACTGACGAGATGTTTCCCAAATCGCAATATTATAAATATATAAGTCATTGTGAGGACGATCCATTCTTATATGGAACACATTCTTACAGCTTGTTTCTAAGTGTTTTCAGATCCCTAAGAGTAAAGTCAACATTTAAACACTCAACATTAACACCTGGATACAAATGCTGAGAAGGAGGAAGGTTGATTTTTGGCTATAAAAATCAGGCACCTTGCTATAAACGTGGAGTCAACTGTCAACTCTTGGTCAAAGTTGTATGAAATATGAAACCTAACTTAGCTGAAGCTTTTCTGAAACAGAATGATGAATGGCACAGAATCAAATTGTGCAACATAATGGAAGAAACATAGAGATGTTACCCATACAGTTAGGTTCTCACCCAGATGTAGTGAGAACCTAACTGTACTTTTCATGCATAAATTCATGCAAACTTGAATGAGCTGAACAAACATTGGAAGAAATTCTTAATGAGTAATTTAATGTGGGAGATTAGGTCATTTGGATTGTTAGAATTTTTTATTTGCATATAGTTAAGTTTTTATGTTAATCTTTTGTCTTTGAAATATATTTACTTTTTACCAAGACATTTAACTAGAGTAAACATGAATTGGACTTCTTATTGTGACCTGGAGCCCCTGCACTCCCATGAGGCATCAGAAGTATCACCTATTTTGACTGCTTTGACTTTTTCAGACTTTTTGCTCAGAAATTTTAGTAACTGCATGTTGAAAATGAGATTCTACAATATTTCTAACTGTATGAGGTTAATTGAATTGAAAACTGTAGTGTTTGCTCTCTGTGTGAGTCAGAATCTACCAGAATAGGTGGTAGGACAATTTTACTTTGGTTTTCTGGGGTTTTCAACCATATTGATTTTGTTTTTTTCTTTTAATATTTGCAGTGTTTGTGTGTTCAATACTTGTGTTGACAAAGATGTGTGTAAACATGCATGGTCTAAATTTAGATCAAGTATATGACAAAGTCTAATTGTCCCTTTTCATTTTGAATAAAACTTCAAATGGGCCAAACAAAATTCTTAATGTCTACTACAGACTACAGATTTCATTTCACTGACGTCCAAATTATGCAGTAATGGAAAAAAATCCTTGTGTTGCAAAAATGTTAAGTTTTTTTTCTTTTTTTTTTTTAACCAACATTCTTCTGTAGTTGATGCTTTTGGCAACTGAAATAGTCCCATGCCTACTTTTTTCCCCATGAGCGCTAAATATTTTATTTAACTTGCACCCTATGTCCATGTTGTTGCTATTAACCTGTAGTATTGTCAAGTTTCAGTTTTGTAATCTGGTCTCATAATTGCACAGACTACTCAATTTACATGGGCTCTCCGAAGTGACAGGTCAACTTTTTGTTGCGTCAGATGTTTTGTATGGGGGAAAAATTGGCATAATCAGAGCAAATCTGCTGAAGTTACTATACATTATGTAACATTTTCTTCCTCAGTTCTCAGCTTCCCATGTATGCATGTGTGTCTGCAGGTCTGCCCACCTGCTCTCCAGGTACAGGCCCCGTGCTCCCATCCTCGCCGTGACCCGTAATGCCCAGACGGCTCGCCAGGCTCACCTGTACCGCGGGATCTTCCCTGTCCTCTACACCAAGCCCCCTCACGATGTGTGGGCTGAGGACGTTGACATGCGCGTCAACTTCGCAATGGAAATGGGTGAGCAGCTACTTTTAATGCTCCAACTTAATTAAATTGAGCAGCATATCAGAATTTGTTTCCATGTTTTTACTAAGAAAGGTTTTGATACAATTTTTGTTTTTCTTCAGGCAAAGCCAGAGGCTTCTTCAAAGACGGTGACGTTGTCATCATCCTGACTGGCTGGCGTCCCGGCTCCGGTTACACCAACACCATGCGTGTGGTCCTGGTGGCTTGAGCAGCCAACGCAGCTGCCCTGCACTGACCCTTCACATTTATCTGTCTTTCATTTTCACCATCCCAACCCCTCACTCCTATAAACACTCAGATGTTTAGTTTTTAGGTTCTCATGCAAATAATTAATCAGAAGACGACCCTTATGACCGAGCAGCTGCTTGGGTGGAAGCAGATTTTTTTTTTCCAGGCAATTCCGAATTATGTCTTCATTCCTTGAACAGATTTTTTTTTCTTTTTGTCAAAGCAGTTGTCAGAACTTCAGATTATTACACCCCAAACAAAAACAGCTATATTCATTCACTCCGACACTTGTAACATTACATATGAAAGCCTATGAGTGGAAGCATCTGCGTGTGCATGCATGTCTGCCTCCTGTTTGGGTGTTGATGGTTTTGGAGCCGACTAGTCTTTTTGGAGCGCCTTGGTGAACTGTAAAGAACAAACTAATGGCAAACAAAGGTCTCGACTCCATGACTCCCTAAACAGATTTTTGTGTAGTGCTCTCAGTATGAAGTGTCCTCTCTTATAGACCAGCTTTCATTGTTTCAGTGTATCTGTTAGTGTTGCACTCCTTACCGTCTCCAGACACTGTTACATTCTAAATTGTACTTGACTTTTGTGAAAGGTAAACTTCTTTATTTTGTTGTTTTTGGGACATTCAATTCTGCTTATATTTTGTCTGACTATAGAGATACAAAGTTTTGGGTGTCCAATCCAGAGGAGTTAATGTTTTGTGTTGTTGGATGTGTCACAGAGCCTTTACATTTCTTTGCATTCAGATAATATCCGAGGGGGAAAATTGTAAACATTTGATTTGGATCATGAGATCAGAACTCATGTTTAAAACCTCTCTCATCGTCTTCTCTGTTGGTGATCCACTGTAGCTGTCCTGCTCCTCTAACATGCTTTTGATTGTAATGCTAGAGACTAAGAACTAACTATGTAAAGGGAGATTATGATGTTTAGCTGGTGAATTGAGATGTCTCGTGAGACTGAGGTTCTATCAATAAAGTGAGCACCTATCAGAAGTTTCTGGCCTTTTGTTTTTGAAATAACTTAATAGGAACAGAAGGATTGAAAGTAAGCTCAAAGAAAGATTTAAAAAGTTTGGATTCAGAACCTTTTACTGAGCTTTATGAGGTATGACCTCTGTCAGGCCTCTCAAAACGAGATAACGCAGTAGCAGCAGTGTTGGAACACAAAGTCCTGCTGGATCTCCATAACAATCCATTTTGAGTAATTATTTCATCTTTCCGTGAACGCAGAACATTTACTGGCAGTCTTGGCTGTACACCACGCCCACCTGCTTACGGATTTCATCCTCCAGTTCTGCCAGCAGAAGAGAGTCTGAGTGAGACATGACTGGACTCTCCTTCAGCCCTACGGGGAGAAATGGAAGCAAAACCACATTTACTGATGCCAACTAATATTTGAATTTCTCCTGCCACCAATTGCCTAAATAACTGCAAATCAGTGCTTTTGTTACTTTCAGAGACACTGACATGGAAACAAACTAAGACGTACAAAACCTTTTGTTACCTTTGATCAAACACTGTCGGACTTCCTCGGCTTCATAGCGCATCCCTGTGCTGTTGTGGAAGTTCAGAGGGAAACAGGGTTCAGGCAAGGGATACTGGGTCTCCTTCCCATTCACAATTAGTGATGTGGGGCACCACATCCAGGCAGGGATCTCAAAAATATTGAAAAGAATAAGCACTATAAGAATGTTCCAACCTCACTGCATTTATCTGTTAACTTATCTGCTTTTTAAACTACCTGGATGGTGCCTTCGGTTCCAACAATAATGGCATCATTAGGAAGCTGTATACTGGAAGAGTAAGTAAACACCGCCATTCTCTTCTCTGAAAACTTCAGAGTTACGATCACAGTTTCATCCACCCCTGCAATTGAAAGATGGCTAGATAAAATGATTTGCATAAAAATAGACCCAATCCTCTGGTTAGCTCCTACCTGTGTCCAGGCAGACCCCGGTAGCCTGGATGCTCTCTGGCCTCTCTCCATTGTACACCATACACACAAACTGCAGGCAGTACATGCCAATGTTCAACAACGCTCCTCCACCCAACTCCTTCTCTACTACTCTTCGGTTGTGCAGAACAGGGACTCCAAACTCCGACCGAACCATTTTCACCTCTCCTATCTCCCTCTGAGCCAGCATCTTTCTAACCTCCACAGAAACTGGGAAGAAACGGGTCCACACGGCCTGGAGAGAGAAACGGCAGACGGAGAATCAGAACTGGCTTAATTTGCCAAGATTTTGTGCACAAACAAGGAATTTTACTTTGATTTCTCAAGCTCACATATGCCAATGTATTTTTTAATGTATTTTTATATTAAAATAGTGAAAATATGCTTTTTATGTTTCACAATAAGGCAGCTGACTGGTGTGGCTGTAAGATTCTTTATGTTCATCAGAGAAACAAGGTGAGGCTAGAAAGTTTCTGTGGTTGCTGGGTCTTGCAAATAGTGCTTTGTAGCAACAACCCGAGATAAAATAAATATGAACCAAATGGTATGAGAAATATTTTAGGCATTTTTGTAAATCGTCTCATGTTTGTTTTGAAGTTTTAAGTCGTTTCATGTGATTATTTTCAGGTTTGGCTGCACATATACAAAAGAGAGAGAACACAAAAATCCATAAAGAACTCCACAAACCAGGCTTTTCCTAAGGTGTGCGACAGATTGCTGATTTAGGAAAAATTGATAGATCCTGATCTTGATGTGAAAAGATTGGCTCATCCTTATTCAACCTAACTGGTGCTAGTTTACCTCCATGAAGAAGACTTGATTCCTTTTGGCAGAGTCCAGAATCTCTTTCACTTCTTTGGTGTTCATGGCCAGCGGTTTCTCACACAGAACATTCTTCTTGGCATTCATGAAGAGCAGGCAGGCCTTCAGATGGTGTGGGTGGATGTTCCCAACATACACCACATCTATGCAAATATTTGACGACGAAAGACAGAATTCTAGAGGATGGACTATTCAATTTGTCATAACATTCACTTTGAAGTGCATTATGTACAACAGCAAACATGGCAATCTCTGACAGATGGATACCGACCAACATTTGGATCTCTGGCCAGCTCCCCGTAGCTGCCATAAGCCGTAGAGATGCTGTGTTTCTTGGCAAACTCTCGAGCATCCTCCAACTTACGAGCTGCAATAGCCACAACCTGTAAGTATTCAGAAAATGACTACAATAATTGTCTAATTCTGAGAAGCAAACTTCTTATGCAACATTTTTGACGTACCATGTAGAGTCATTCCATTTTTATAAAAATTCTGCAGAAATGTTCGGATTTAGCAGTTTCATTTCTCATCCTGTAGAGGTCATCACTCGCATACGTTCACCTATATAAACAGGTGAACTTATGCGAGTTCACCTGCTTATAAAGGTGAACTTTAGGGATGACTGTGGCTCTGTGGGAGTAGTTGTTTGCGATAAGAAGGTTGTAGGTTCAATTCCAGCTTTCTCCTGTCGCCGCGCCCTTCGGCAAGGCACTTAACTACCGATCTGCATATTGGTGGGAATGGGTAAATGTGACTCTAGTGTAAAGCGCTTTGAGTGGTCAAAATTATTGGAAAAGCGCTATACAAGTTAAGTCCATTTAGTTACCTTAATTGTTACTGACTGATTTTTAAAACTAAAATTCGTTACTCTCAGACTGTACCAAAAAGTATTTCCTTTCTATTCTGTGGTTTACGGTAATAGTTTGGTAACTTGACAGTTTAGTCAAAATGTAAACGTATCACAAGCTCATTGACCAGCGCGTGCTGCTTTTAGAGAGTTCACATATTCTCAACACCATGTTTACTTGACTTTTTAAAAAACATATCCAGCAAACAGAAAAGACGCAGTTAAGAAGAAGTCCCAAGAAGTCACAAAGAGGCGTGTTGCATTTAAAGTACATGTTGAATTTCAGTATATATTTCAGGCAACTACTGACCTGATGGTCTTCAGCAGGAAGAGTTTTTAAAGCAACAGCAAAGTCATGACTGATCTTCCCCGCACTGCAGATTCCCCACCTGGTTGCCATATTGCTCAAAAGTTGGTTATCAGAAACAAACATTCATCGTTCCTTGCCAAAGGGTGGCGACAAAGCACTCATTTATGATTTTATGTTGTAATCACCAGCTTAGGCGTTTCGCTATTACAGAACTATGTATGATGTACTAATACTAATGCTTCAGAAGTGTGCAAAAAGAAAAAAAAAAAAGACTGGTCATCTTTTTCATAATAAAAGTATATTGTGCAATATATTTGGAAATTGTGGTCTAGATGAAGCGTGAAGCACATAATACATGTTGCTTGAGGCCCAGGATAAATTTTCCAATTTCTGATTATTTTGTGTTTTGGCAACTACAAAATCAACATTGTTACCTTGGAGAGAATGAGCGCTTCATGCTTCCGTCAGCTGATGAATGTTATGGAGATTTTGATGTCCTTTTCCAGCAGCACTATGACCTGCCCATACTGTCAAAAGTATTCGTACCTTGTTGGCCCACAAACTAATCATATATACAGAACTTGTGGAGCATGGCCCAGTGGAATATGAGACATAAAATCTTAAGATAGGCAGAAGACAATCTAGACTTAACACCTCACAGCAATAAAAGTTTATAAGTCTGTGATACGAGTAACTCAATTACAGAACTACAACTTTAAAAACATTACTTTGAGACACCTGTGTATTTTTAATTACATCAATATTAAATTCAACATAAATGCTATTCTATGCATTAAATTAAGTAAGCAGCAGTACAAATACCTGTTTCTATTGAAAGCATTTGTGTAATTTTGTTTGTGAACATTAAAACCATACTTTTTTTTTTCAAGAATATGCAGTAAGAATCTTAATCAATCCCAAGCAAAACATTTTACACCGTTATATTATAGATTAAAGAAACTTTTATTAGAAGTCTTCATTTAGACATGATCAGAAGTGCTTCCGTTTACAGTCATGGAACATTCATTGAGGTTTTGATTGTTTCAGTGCCTTTTACAGATGGTGTTGATTCTTATACATGCAGCAAAGTTCAAAAAATCCTGAGCCAATGTAAGCATACACCTATGAGTGAGGTATTTCTTATTTAACACAGAACTTGTGAGGTCATCCAAAAATTGGGAACATTGCTGTAGTGTCTGAGTACAAAGTGCAGCTGGATCACAGTAATCAGGTCATTTTCAGTTATAAAGTACTCTTCAGTCAAAGTGTGGATACCGAGTGTAAAACATTTACAGGCAGTCTTGGCTGTACACTACGCCCACCTGCCTACGGATCTCATCCTCCAGTTTAATCAGCAGAAGAGAGTCAGAGTGAGACATGACTGGACTCTCCTTCAGCCCTGCAGGGACAAATAAAGGCACAGTCACATTGTGTAGCTATTGATTATTTGCATTATGTTTTAGTCACAAGGTGCCTGGACTAAGAAGTCTGCAATATTTTATTATGCAGAGAGATATGTTGGTGTAGAAATGCGGAATTTCTACTTACCTTTGAGTAAACACTGTCGGACCTCTTCTGCTTCATAACGCATTCCTGTGCCATTGTGGAAGTTCAGAGGCAAACAAGGTTCTGGTAAGGGGTACTGGGTCTCCTTTCCATTCACAATTAAAGATGTAGGACACCACATCCAGGAAGGGATCTCAAAAATATATCAAAAAAGACAATACACAAAATACCATAAAATTTCCCATTGACATCGCATTGAATTGTGGACTCAACCTAACCTGACCTTGATGATTTACCTGAATTGTGCCCTTGGTTCCAACAATAATGGCGTCATTGGGAAGCTTCATGCTCGAAGAGTAAGTAAACACTGCCATTCTCTTCTCAGAGAACTTCAGAGTGACAATTACAGTCTCATCAACCCCTGTAATTGTGAGAGTATAAATGCTATGACAGACAAAGGCGCACTATATAAATAAAACTTATCTCTCTGGGTACCTGTGTCCAGGCAGACCCCGGTAGCCTGGATGCTCTCTGGCCTCTCTCCATTGTACACCATACACACAAACTGCAGGCAGTACATGCCAAGACTCAACAGAGCTCCTCCACCCAACTCCTTCTCTACTAATCTTGGCCTGTGCAACAAGGGAATGCCAAACTCTGACCGGATCATCTTCACCTCTCCTATCTCCCTCTGAGCTAGCAGCTTTCTAACTTCTTCAGAAACTGGGAAGAAACGGGTCCACACAGCCTGGAGACAAGGGAGAGCAGGCGGAGATGAATGATTATTAACCAGCTGGAATTAGGAATATATGACACCAATTTGTAACATTCAGTAACTTTTAGAGAAATTCTTTTTTATTGATTACTTTAAGGTTTTACAGGTATGGCTACCAAACAGCAAAAACAAAAACTGCATCCAAAAGGAATAATCATCTGGTGCACCAATGATGGAATGACAAGATAGCACTTTTGCACCTGCCTGGTAACCAAAGTACATGCTGGTCTATGTTCTACTGGTAGTTTACCTCCATAAGGAAGACTTGGTTCCTTTTGGCAGAGTCCAGAATCTCTTTCACCTCCTTAGTGTTCATGGCCAGCGGTTTCTCACACAGAACATTCTTCTTGGCATTCATGAAGAGCAGACAGGCCTTCAGATGGTGTGGGTGGATGTTCCCAATATACACCACATCTATGCAAACATTTGAAAATGAAAGCTAGATAGAATAGTAAAATAATAGACTACTCAATTTGTCATAACATTTACTTTGATGTGGATTATGTACATAAACAAAACATAACAGATAAACACTGACCTACATCTGGATCTCTGGCCAGCTCCTCATAGCTGCCGTAAGCCTTAGAGATGTTGTGTTTTCTGGAAAACTCCTGAGCGTCCTCCAACTTACGAGCTGCAACAGCCACAGCCTGTAAAGTCACAGATGATACACATTAATAATGAATACTTTAGAGGTAAAGACAGCCATTCCATTTGATTAAAAAATGTTTTTAGGCCTTACATCTTTTTGGCACTTTCACTTGTCATCCAGCAGAGGGCATCATTCATATAAACTCACTTTGTTTCACAGTTGAAAGAAAGTGACATTTGCCTGACTGGTCCTGAAAAAATGCATGACTGAGGCTGTTCAATTTAATTGTTAATTTCCAGTTCTCCGTTACTCCCAGACTCATTTTCCAGAAACAACTACATGTGTCCTATTCTATATTATACGGTAGAAGGTTTGGCAACTTGGCAGTTAAAACGTTTTACAAAATCGTTGACGGTCGTCTGCTTCATTTAGACACGGTTCAAAATCATGCGTGCTTAAATAAAAAATATATCTTATAAAACGTACGACGGAGTTAAGTACCCGGAAGAATGTTACTATGACACAAAGAGGCGCGTTTCATCTAAATCAAACGTGGGATTTATCTCTGTTGCAACAGGCGCACTCACCTGATGGTCTTCAGCAGGAAGAGTTTTCAGAGCCACAGTAAAGTCATGACTGATCTTCCCCGCGCTGCAAATTCCCCACCTGGTTGCCATGTTGCTCCAAAATGACTGTCGAGAACATTCACCGTTTTCCTCCACACGGGGGCGACAAAGCACTCATTTAAGATATTTAATTTCAAGCCATTTTAGACGATTACACAAGACCAAAAAACCTCTATTATGGTTTAAAGAAAAAACCCCGCAAAGCCTAGTGATGTAAAGACTAATTGTCATGTTCTGCAACCACCTTTTGCACGACCTTTTTTTTAACTTAAGACCGGGTTGGTTTATTTATTTAAAATTTTCTCTTACCAATGAAATTAGAAATGAAAACTTGCTGATGATATAATTCACATAAAACAAAAGCAAAAAAAAGCAAAAAAGGAAAAAAAAGTGTCTATAGTACTTTGTAACACAAATGTACCTGAAAGAAGAACTCATATATATATATATATATATGCTGCTGAACAAACATACTTTAAAGATGGGTTAAAGAACAGATTTGCCATTTTAAATTTGCTATAACATTTATTTCACAGATTATCAAAGATTTTACATTTCATTTTATTGTTGACAGTGTTCAGTGAGTATTATATTAATAAATCTGTATACAAAGCTGGTGTGTAACATGTAAATATAAAGAGATAACAGCTTCCTAACTGCTCTCATGTGGTTCAGAGAGGTCATCTTGAGTGGTTTATATTTCAAAAATAAGTTAATCAAAGAAGGAATTTTCTACAAAAATATAAACACTTTTTAATCACATGAAATGGACTACAGTGATCCCTCGCTGTAACGCGGTTCACTTTTCAAGGTCTCGCTGCTTTGCAGATTTTTTTTTTTTTTTTGCAGTTTTTTTTCACACTGCATTGTGTTCTGCGTCCTGATTAGATAAAAAGTCTCAGCGGTTCTTCTCTACGTGTGCCATTAACGTTACGCGATTTAAATATAAGTAATACATCTTGGCTATTCAGGAGATGAAAACTGAAACACTTTGAATGCCTACTGGAAAAAACTGGCCAGAGGCAGCGCAAAGCCCGACTGGAGGCTCGCTTGACGAGATCCATCGCTCTGCCGTAGATACAGCTGTGAATATCGCAAAGCAGCTTGGAAGAGAGACGGCTTTAATAGCATGACTCCAGACCACATTGAGGCCCGATTGATGCACACGCACATCCGCTGACCTGAAAACAGATTTTGCACTTTGGTTTCAATGTAGAGTATTTAATTATACTGTATAATAATTGTAAAAAAAAACATAAAATAAAGGTAACTACTTCACGGATGTCACCTATCATGGGTTATTTCTGTAACGCAAACCCCACGAAAAACGAGGGATCACTGTGTTCCTGAATTAAACAGAGTAAGTTCGTCTCCATTGTAAACTGGTTGTATTTAATCACAGCATGAATAAGTCGAACTTTTACTGGCAGTCCTGGCTGTACACCACTCCCACCTGCCGGCGGATCTCATCCTCCATTTCAGCCAACAGCAGAGAGTCAGCATGAGGCATGACTGGACTCTCCTTCAGCCCTGCAAAGAGAAACATACTGATGAGTCGGCTGTCTACCGACACAAATGCTCCACAGAAGTTCAGAGATGAGGAGCTTATGCAGTCGACTTTTAAACCTCGTTTTACAAGTTGTTAGTTGTTCACCTTTTCAGTTATGTTCTTGTTCAACCTTTTGTCAATACTTCCTATTTTTCCTATTTTCACATACACCCTCCTGCTGCATTGAACCACAGGCATCTCATATTTTATGACTATTCCTGAAGTGGCTTTTTTTAATATCTCAGCTATACGATGTTCGTAACATAAAGTACATTAGTTCACACAAAGACCTGAACTCATGGTTATTTATTGGATATGTACAACATCCAATAACAAAATCTATTTATGTGTGTAAATCCAACAAATCTAAGGGTCTTCTGACAACCCTGGGATTACTACAACCTTTACACTAATGTTTACAAAAAAAATAGAATAAAAAAAAAAGGTAGTGGAAATGTTTGTCTTCATCATTGCTCCTCTCCAGCATGTTTCTGTAATAGCAGAATCATCGTATTGCAGGGGTCACCAACTCCAGTCCTCCAGTCCTACCATCCTGTAACTTTTAGATGTGTCTCTGCTCAAACACACCTGGATCAAATAAACTGCTCGTTTCCAGCCTATTGCAGAGAGGAATGAATGCTGGTGAGGAATTCAGACATTTTGGAGCAGAGGTGAATCTAAAAGTTACAGGATGGTAGCCCTTGAGGACTGGAGTTGGTGAACCCTGTCGTATTGTTTATCATTTATCATGAAAAATGTTTCATGATAAGAATTTAGATTTATCGACTCCATTAAAAAACTGGCAATATTATCACATATGTTATTTTTGCTTTTTTCTCTAATGTTTATCAATAAATATTAGCAGAGCTACTTGATGCCATTAGCTGGTGTTTACAAAGCAGTTAATCCAGGAAACTCATTGATTATTCTTGGAGCTGTTCACACCCAATAAAAATAAAGACGACTGTAGATGTTAGCTTCAGCACAAGTATTAAGACGGTTTCTATACAGATATATTTGGTGTTTGAACAGTTAAAATAGGCAGTAATTATACTTGCTTTTGGAGGGGAGCAGAAATTAGTGGATTTTAGCCATTTGTGGTCAGCTTGGGTCACAAACATCACAAATACTAAGAGTTCAGAATATCGCCAAAAGCTGTCTGGGTTGCAAAAATTGTTAGCTACCCAAGTAACATGCCTTACGTATTCTGGGACACTTTATATCTAACTACGCATAAAATTGTTTTACAAGGTGAAGTGGTGAAACATGCTCTAATATTTTATTTTTTAAAAATGCTGATCGATAATTGACTGGTAGATCTTCCAAACCACTGTAAAATATTAAGTATTTCCATTATAAATTATGTTTCTATTTATGTACGATACACAGGGTGTCTGTATAGCCACCACAATATTGAACAGTGATTTAACTCTGCTGAATCTTGTCTGCTTGCGTTTATGAAACAGTTTGGACAGAAGCCATCCCCACAAATCACAACTCTGTTTTGATTACACAGAAACAGTAGGTTCAAGCACAACATCATCTTCTGTGATGGTTCTGGAATCTTAGAGGTTCTGCAGCTAATGGTACCAGACCTACAGAAGGCAAAATGCTGATGTCTCATTACCCTTGAGCAGACATTGGCGGACCTCCTCTGCTTCGTAACACATCCCTGTGCTGTTGGTAAAGTTGAGAGGCAAGTGGGGTTCAGGTACCGGATATTGGGTCTCCTTCTCATTAACAACCAGTGAGGTGGGGCACCACATCGGTGAAGGTACCTGGAGCATGTGCATCGGATTAAAGCTAAACCAGAGTTTGAAGACACTTCTAATTTCTTCTACATAAAAACACTCGAACGACTAAACATACTCAATGGTCTTTTTGAGTTGTTGTCGTGCCATCCTTGGTAGCTTACCTGGATTTTGCCTTTTGTCCCAGCAATAATGGCATCATTGGGCAGCTGGACCCCAGCAGAGCAGGTGAATGTCGCCATTCTGTTTTTAGAATACTTAAGAATGACAGCAACACTCTCGTCCACGCCTACAAGGATGTGAATATACAACACAGTGTAGACAAAAGATGTAAATTCTCAAAATACAGTCGCAAAAGCTGAAAATAAAAAGTTATAAGCTAATTTAGAGTTTCTACAGGGTTTATCAGGAGGTGAACATAGTATTGGGAACATTCTAATTAGATTACAATTCTGTTACATCAGATTTGTAAGGTATGAAATGATCAATTTTCTAAGTCTGACTTGATGTACTTATTCATTTTAATTTATGATGGTTAATCTACATTCTCAAAAAAAAGTTTATTGACAGCTCAAGGTTTGTGTGAAAGCAGAAGATGCATCAATCCGACTTTTCCTATTAAAAACCAAACTCCTACCAAAAATGGTAGTTAGGTTCTTACTTTTGAAACATTTAACAAACAGGGGGAAACGCATGTTTTAGAATTTGATCAATCAAACCAGAGACAAGTTAACATTTTCTGATTCCAATACTTGACAAGTTGATCAGTGAGTCTCAAGTCAAAATTTTAAAAAAGTAAGCAGCTTTTCTTTTCAATATTCATCCCAGGAGGAATCTGCACAAAATATAAAATCTTAACTCACTTGAGTGTAAAGTAGTATCTCACATAATGTCACAGCCTCTGAGGTTACATGAATGCCTCATCCTGTTAACTCCTTACCCGTCTCCAGGCAGATCCCGCTGGCTTGGATACTCTCCGGCTTCTCTCCGTTGTACACCATACTTATGAATTGAAGGCAATAGATACCAAGATCTAGTAATGCTCCTCCACCGAGGTCCTTCTGAACCGATCTTGGCACGTGCAACAGCGGCACACAAAAGTCGGCACGGACCATCTTCACCTCTCCTATCTCCCCCTGAGCCAGCAGATTTCTGATCTGCACAGAGGCTGGGAAAAAACGGGTCCACACAGCCTGGAGAGAAAACATGTTTTAAACTGTTTAACCTTTGAAGGTCTTCAAGTGTGTAATAGTAAACTGTATTCAGAGAAATAATATTTTTCTTCCTGGTTTGCTACATGCTTACCTCCATGAGGAAGACGTCGTTCTTTTTGGCAGAGTCCAGAATCTCTTTCACTTCCTTAGCATTCATGGCCAGCGGCTTCTCACACAGAACATTCTTTTTAGCATTTGTGAAAAGTTTACAGGCGCTCAGATGGTATGGGTGGATGACTCCAACATACACAACATCTGCACACAGGTCAAACACAAAGCTGAATGGTACTCTTCAATCTTTTTCAGAAATAACAGTATGAAATATTGAGAAAATTAAAAATGGATAAAGAAAACATTTAATATAGAGCAGGAGGTATTGTAAGGTTTGAAAATTAAAAATAAACTGAAAAACCTCTGGCAAATGGATACTGACCTATGTCTGGATCTCTGGCCAGCTCCTCATAGCTGCTGTAAACTCGAGAGATGCTGTGTTTATTGGCAAACTCCTGAGCATTTTCCAATTTACGAGCTGCAACAGCCACAACCTGCAAATACAGTCAGTTACAGTACAACCACCTTCCTGAGGACCTCAGTACACATTGTAAAAGTATTAAACTCCATTGAAATCTGTGGCATTTTGACATGACGGACAATATTTTCTAACTAAATGTTCTTTTGTTCCTTTTACAGCACATTGACCTCTATCACAATTTATCATGTTACAACAATAAATGTTGATCTATTTTGTTGAAAATGCCTATATTACTAACACAACATGGGGCATAAATATGCAGTGATGCACTGCACGTTTTTTTACAGTATCCCCTAAAAAGCTTGTTGCAATCCTCATCCAAAAGATGATTTTTGAAGTGGATTTTTTTTTTTTTTTTTTTTTTTTATGGAAAAACATCTAGACTTCCCTATATGGCCAAACCCATGTCGGGCCACCATGGAAACTGCTGACAAACCCTTTTGGGACCCATATTGTCTGTCCTCCTTTTCCCCATATGGAGCCCACCTAGGTATGCTGGCTGGGAGGTTAAGAGCTTCTACTGTTTGTAAAATTAAATGTCGACCACGGCCTGCAATTTGCAACTTTGTACACAACTCGCTAAAATCTACTGCATGCACATTTTAAGCCTGTCCGCTCAGCTGGGAAGCAAAAACAGATTTTTAACAGAACTTTTACTTAGAGAATAACTCGTAGAAATCCCGTCTGTCTGCCATAACAACTCCCGACATAATGCTTTGCACCGAAAGACAGTGTTTGATTTTCCCTGCAGCTTAACAAACCCACCTGATGGTCTTCTGCAGGAAGAGTTTTCAGAGCCACAGTGAAGTCATGACTGATCTTCCCTGCGCTGCAGATTCCCCACCTGGTTGCCATGTTGAACCAAGTGTCCTCAGTTTCTTCTTGTTCTTGGTTTTACTGGCGGTTGGCAACAAACTGTTACTAGCATTACCGCCACTTACTGGTATGGAGTGTGGTTCGTGATGGTGTGTTTATCTATATCTATCTCTATATCTACCTATCTAAATATATATACACATATATTAGACAAAAAATTAATGAATAAAACAAATAACAACAACAATATAATAATAATCAGTGATTCTTGAGAATAGGGACATAACAGGTCCTATGGATAAAGCACAAAATTTGAATAAAATATACACAAAATATAATTTTTTTCAAATATCTGACTAATCTGGGTCATGTGAGCACAACAATATATATTTTCCTGGTATTTGCTGAATATTTTTTTATTTTAAACATTGTAGTCGGTGGATGATGTCTGTAAAAGCCCTTGTCCAGGAGCAGAACTCAATACATTATAATAGTTTAAAATAATTAAAGAAATACTAAAATTATATATTGTGACAATTAAGTATAAGTAGTCATATAAATAATTATAAAAGTATCAATAAATTTAATTAAAAATCATTTTTATATATTTTCCAGCTCCAGCGAAATTTGTCCCACGTTTTTGTCAACACCGTCAGACATAAACAGAATGTTAAAAAAATCAGGCATTATTGGGGGGCACCAGAACTTCTGAGGACCCCATGACCTCTTCCTTTCTCTTCCTTTGCTAACATTGCTAGTTAGCTCTGGTTAGCTTATTTTATTCTTTAGTTTTTTCTTCTGTTTTATTCCTAAGTTGCTTGTCACAACCATGATGTGTCAACACCTGACAATTTACAAAACTTTGATGAAATTTTGTGAAATAAAAGCTTAATTTTAATATACTGTAAAGATTTCATGGAACTGATGAGCTACAATATGGCCTCCTTCAGAATAACATTATATAAATTGAGGGAGGTTGGCTTTTTGTCAACTCCGTCAGAGTTTTTCTGACTCTTTCAGTGAAATTGTTGTCAAATCTCACTTAAATGTGCAGTTAATTCATTTTAATGTATTTTACATAAATTGCATTACTTCATATGTATCAAGTTTTTCTTTTTACTCACTAATTTGTCACCATCTTCAGCTCTGTGTCAACTCCGTCAGATGGACTTTTTGTTGTTTTTTGTTTTAAATATTTCTTTTGTTTCTTGACAAGCATTTGTCTGTAAAACTGAGTAAAAATATCACTAATAGGGTCATTAAAAATTATTTTAGAAACAATTAATATGTTTAAACATTAGCATAACCATCGCTAATTTGCAATGCTTGTCTCTTTAAACTCAAGAGAAAAAAGTGAAAATTACAACAATACATGAGCCTGTATCAAAAGTATTTCTCCGGCCTGAATAACCACAAACAACAATCATAAACCCTTAAGAAATAAACAAACAAATAGAATACAGAGCCTTTTATTCCACCCACAAAATTTTATCTACCTTTGCTAGCTGTTATTTGAAAACAAACCTTTTCAATTAGTTCTTTATTAGAGTCATCAATCACACATCTTACAATGACTGCTTTGTTTATCTGGAAAGGACATATGAATTAAATGATGCTGGAGCTCAACACAGTTGGTCATTTTGTTTATGATGGGATTTTTTTTTATTAAATATGTGCTTTTATCTATGTTTTAATAAATCATTCATGAGTTCCAATATACTCATTACAAAAAAAAAATTTGTGACAATCCAGAGACAACAAAATTATTTATGAAGAATTCAGACAGTTCACATATTTATTCTAATTTATTGATTGTGATAGTAAATCCCAAACAAAATTGTTCAGGCTTATGTGTGATCTGCTTCTTCTGCTCACTGTGCTCTATGTGCCCACTGGTGGCGAACTGCTGCAACTACAGACCAATGCATTTCCTATCTCGAGCAGAAACGCACCTAAATAATATAGTAAAATAAAGATAAATAAAGTAAGAAAAACAAAAGTCTTTAAACAAAGTAAGAAAAGTTAGGGAGTGCAATCATCTCTAATGTTCACTCTGTCACAACAACTCCCAAGCTGTGTGAAGCTGACACCCCACCCACGTCAAAAAAAATTCAGCAAATAGTCTGAATGGTTAGTGCTCCGTTTGTGCCGTTAAAATTTTCGTTTGTGCAGTTTTGGTTTCTGAGATATTAAAAATTATTTTTTAGGTCATCCAGAGTTCACCATCCCCCCATATTGCTCAAAAACAAACCAAAGTGGGCTACTTTGTTAGTGCTCCGTTTGTGCAGTTAAAACTGTCGTTTGTGCACCTTTCGTTTTTGAGATATTAAAAGTTATAATTTTGGCCGATGACGTCACCGTCACCCCAAGCATGAAATTTTTTGCTTTACCGCTGTTACGTCGCCACCACCAACTGGTATGTAATGTGGACCACAATGTCACCCAAGGATTATATTATACAAATGACTAGATCTGATTTTACTTTATTTGGTGCTTTCAGAGTTTAAGATTTAAGTATAACTATCCCCTAATTAAATGTGTACACTGGATTTGTTTTTCATCAAAAAATGTGATTGATGGAAGCAGAAATGGGAGCCTGAGAGCCGGTTTGTGCAGGCCCCTTTGAGAGCCATAGGTTTTACTCTACAAAGTCTAGTGATGTAAAGATTCATCGTCATGTTCTGCAACCACCTGTGGCACAACCATTTTTTTTTAACTTAAGACCAGGTTAGTTTATACATTTATATTTTCTCTTAATTACCAATTCAAAGACAACTGCAATTTGTCAGAAAAGATAACTTGCTGCTGATATAATTTATATAAAAAGCGAAAGTCTCTATAGTCCGCTTTTGCACAAACACAATTTAACACATTCAAGGAGACGAACACTGCTGAACACACTTTAAAGATGGGTTAAAGAAAAACATTTGTCTTTTTTTAGAACTTTGCTATCACATTTATTTTACAGATGATCAAAGATTTTACATTTCATTTCATTGTTGACGGTGTTCAGTGAGTTTCAATACATCTGTATGCAAAGCTGGTGTACAACATGTAAATATGAAAAGGTAACAGCTTCCCAACCTCTCCTGTTTGAGAGAGGCCATCTTTAGTGGTTTATATTTCAAAAGTTAATCAAAGTTGGAGGTCAAGTAGTGTTGTTTCCCTACAAAAATATAAGCACTTCTTAAATCACATGAAGTGAACTATTCTTGAATTAAACAGCAAGTCATTGTAAACTGGTTGCATTTAATCACAGCATGGAAAAAGTTGAACTTTTACTGGCAGTCCTGGCTGTACACCACTCCCACCTGCCGGCGGATCTCATCCCCCATTTCAGCCAGCAGCAGAGAGTCGGCATGAGGCATGACTGGACTCTCCTTCAGCCCTGCAAAGAGAAACATATTGATGAGTCGGCTGCTACAGACACAAATGCTCCACAGACGTTCAGAGATGGGAGAAGCTTATGCAGTTGACTTGTAAACCCTGTTTTACAAGATGTTAATATTTCACTTCAATTATGTTCTGTCCAACTTTTTCAGTACCTCCTATTTTTCCTTTTATTCCCCACATACACCCTCCCGCTGCTTTGAACCCCAAGCATCCCATAATTCAAGACTTTTCCTAAAGTATCCACCACTATATTGAACAGTGATTTAACTCTGCTGAATCTTGTCTGCTTCAGCAGTCATGAAAACAGTTATCAAAATAGTTATGAAACTGTTTTGACAGAAGCCATCCCCACAAATCACAACTTGGTTCTGATTACACAGAAACAGTAG